GACTGTGTGACCACTTCACAAATCGGAGCTTCCTGCTAGCACCTCTTTGGTACAAATGGTCCCCTCTCCTAAATAATCGGAAACCAATTCTAATGGGCTTCTTGAGGCCTTTTTTGATTGGTGGATGAGAAGAGTCTCAGCAAATGTGATAGAACGTTCTCTCTCTACCATCCCCCAGCATAGTAGGTGACCATGGGAGGTGGGCACAGGTTCAATAGCATTATCATGGGGCCTCTTTTAGATGTCGGGCGCAGATACCTAAAAGAAGCTCTATATTAATGCTATTGAACCTGCGCCCACTTCCCATGATCACCAAAAAAAGCAGGGGTGTTTTTTGAGACAGTGTCTTGTGCAGTTCAGATGGGCCTTGAACTTACTGTGTACCCCAGCCTGGCCTAAAACTTGTGACAGTCCTCTTCCCTCAGCCTCTAGAGTGCTGTGGCTGCAGGAGTGTGCCATCCCTCCAGGTAAGAAACAAAGTTTAGTGATAAATGATGATACCTACTTTCCTTGAAAGAGTGCTAGTACCTTTTAAAAAATGTTTCTACAAGGCCAGGTGTGGTGGCACACTCCTGTAATCCCAGCATTCAGGATCACTGTGGGTTCAAGGCCAGCCTGGGCTACAGAGTTAGTCCAGGGTCCGCCTGAACTACATAGAAAAGACAAAAGTTTCAAAAAGAACCCCCCCAAAAAATGTTCTTACAAATAATTTTTCCTTTTATTTTATTTATTTATTTTTTATTTTTTGGTGGAACCAGGGATTGAATTCAGAACCTTGCGCTTGCCAGGGAAGCGCTTATTCCACTGAGCCATCTCCCCGGCCCCTGATTTTGCATTTTAATGCTCACTTCTTTCCCATTCTCTCTTTCTTGCCTTGCTTTGAGAATAACACTTTAGTCCCGGCACAGTCAGCTTTCTGTTACTGTAACTAACAGAACACAGCTTCAAAAACCTAACGGTTTGCTTTGGCAAACAGCCATGCGAGGATCAGGCCCCGATCACTCTTTCTCTGGGCTTGTCCTGGTGTCTGGGTGACAGAGGTGCCCTGCTCACCTAGTAAGTGAGACATAAAAGACAGGTGCAGGAGAAGGCACCCATGTCCCTCCTGCTTGCTGTTGCTGGGAGCAGCATCCTCCCGAGAGGCCTCGCGGCCTCCCAGGACAGCAGCAGGCTGGAGGCCTCACTCTTAGCAGATGGCTTGGGCTGAGGCGGGGGTTCATCCGAGCTGTAGAACTTCTCCAGCTCTTTCCTGGAGTAACTGATGTAATCTGGGGAAAAAAATAAAGGTATGGATTTACAGATTTTAAATCATGTATCTCAGTGTATTCCAAATATTATGCCTTTTGCCCATCAGGCTTTCAGACACTTAGCATCAGTGGACCCTTCATCAGCCTGAGTTCTCTTTTTTGGAATCAACTTAGTGGTTCCCCAGGGCTTTCCTGCGTCCTGCTCTGACAAGGTGTCCCAGGCTCCTCTTCTGCCCTTCCTACACAAGACCTAAAATCAGCCGTTTCTTGAAGGGCTCTGGATATTTTTAAAATCAGAAAAGCTCCATTTTGCCTTCTGTTCTTCTGTTAACACAATCTATAGAAATTCAGTCAGGAGTGCAGAAAGCTGAAGAGAAATAAATGAGCACCCATGTTACTTTGGCTACGGATATTACCGAAAAGTGTTGTGCTTTTAGAACTTTATAGGTATCAGCTTATGAGATCGCCTGCAGCTGTGATTTGTTAAGGCTTTTGGGTCTGTCTCTTATTTGTTCTTCTACTTCAAATTATAGTGCACACATCATGCAGTGCTCCGGACTGTGGGGCTCTCTAATCACCAAGGTACATAAATACAGAAATGAACATTCAGATGATCAGAAATAGAAGTCTTTTAATAGACTTTTTGTGGTATGGAAAACAATAACATGGACAGCTTGACATTTTAAACTCCCAGATGACTTAGCTTTGCTCGTATGTCCCGTCAATGAGGGACATGAAGGAAGGCATACGGAAGTTGGTGTGGGGGCTCCTGGCGCTCCCAGTGTCTCCAGCCCTGGCCTTCTCTTTTCCTTGTCCTGCACTTCAGCAGCCTGCGTGTTGGCCAGTGGGAGCGTTCCAGCAAGCTGGCCCGTTGACATTCATGGGGGCCTCGGTGCATGTGCAGAGCGCATCCCTGGTTCTTATGCATCTCTTCACCCTCCCTTCCTCTCTCCTCCCCTCCCCCCTCCAGCTGTTTCTCAACTCTATGATCCCCTTCCTTTTCCATGCATGTGTGTAGCGCCTCCTTCATCCTCATTGCTTTTGCTTTAAATGTGTCCTTAAAACTTCCTTTCCCATATTTGATGTAAAATGCAAAATCATCCTAACTTACATGCAGTTAGCATTTTCTTTCGGGACTGTTTATGTGATGAACAAGAACAGGAGTGGAGTGAAAATCCAGAATAGGCTTTGTTCTGGTCACTCTGCCATGTCTTGGCCCAGGGCAGAGTCTGTTTCTGTATAAATAGATATGTGCATCTCTACACTTAACTCCGAGAGTGCTAGATCCCATTGCCCTTCCAACTCCAGAGGTAACATTTGGTTTATTTGGAAGAATTGGACCTTGTGTACTTCAGCCAAGTAGGAGGAAGAGGTCATCAACCCCTTCTGAGTCCACAATTCCTAGGGCCCCATCTCTGATTACGAGGAATCCTTATGTAGCACTTGGCTCTGATGGGCTTGCGTAGACACAGATTGAGTCCGAAAGGACTGACATCTCCTGGACTTCGCTGACGTGAAGTGCTGGCGTGAAGCGGGGTGCAGGGAATGCGGGGATGGAGGAGAAAGGGGGCTGATTCCCTTGGCAGTTTTCCTGCGAAGTTTTGAAACTTAACATTTGATAGCTGTGGGCTGCTTGGTGGTGGATTCTTTCAAAAGAGATTGATAACAGTAGCTGTATGGGAGCACCAGGCAAGCTTGTGGTGTCAAGTTGTGCTTTAGTCTACAACCTACTTCATGACACCCACAAATCTGTTAGGAAAGAAAAGGCTGTCTACTGGAGAGCTAATTATGTGATTTCCTCCCTTCCTGGTTAGCCTTAGCATTTGTGCATTCAAACCACTCTTGAATAATAATGAAAAAAAAGAACATTCTTTTTAAAAATATTTCTCACACTATAGTATCTGCATGGCAATTCTTTTTAAAGTACAAGTTATTTTAGGGAATTAGGTTATTTTGGGATATTATTTCTTGTTAGGAATTTTGTAGGTATCTCAGGAATTTTAGTATACAAACATTAATGGTATGTGGTTTCACCTTGTTAGGAAATTCTGATAGTTCTTGAGTTGTTATCACAGTAATCGAAGAGACACTAGTATATGAGTAGCTTTCCTTCCTTCTATTGTGCATCCACTATGTGTAAGAAGGTGTGTTAAACTCGTGGTTCAGGGAGAACACCATCTGAAGAGTGGTACTCGCGATTATTTTGTGGAGCCAGTCATGGTTCCTTTTTTTTCCCCTATTCCTTCCCCAGGCTCTTGGCCCTCTAACTTCATTTTCTTCTGGGACTCTTGCTAGGACTTAAAAATGTTCTCTAAATTGTCCCTCATTTACCTGTCAATTAATCCTCCCCTAATCTGCTTCTGCGTTGTCTCTTGGCCCCACAACATTAAATAGCTTTTTCTGATTTACTGAATAATGACTGTTGGACTTAGATTGGCATCCAAGGCTCTGACCTATTTTTAAGCTTGAACAAGTTTCTTTTGCCTTGTCCTCTGTTGTCCTAGTAGATGCTTTATTTGAACTCATCAGTTCTCCAAGTGTGGTCCCTGGGCCAACAGCATTGCATCACCCAGAAATGTGTTAACGAGCTGCAAATTCCTGGGCCAACCCTAGACTGTACCGCCTCACACTTCTGGAGATGGTGTCCAGCTAGCAAGCTTTCCACGTCCTGTGCATCGTGAGGATGTTTGGGAAGCCCTGCTCCACACAAACCCCCTGCAACTCACCACTTTTTAAATTCTTTTGTACTGTCCTGCCTTCGTGTAGAAGTCAAGGAATGCCCTCCTCTCCTCTTGTTCCAGTCTTTTTTATGCTCCCTGGCCTGGCCTGAGACACAGCACCCCCATGCTACGATTCCTGAAACTTATCTTTCATTGCTTTATTTGGTTTTCTTTCCTGGCACTAATGGTTTAACTCATGCTGGTCACATGCTGTACCTACCTGTTTCCCCTGCCCATCTGGAAACACAAAGAGGCTGGAATCTGAGTCAGCTTTGTGCTTCAAGATACCTGTGTCAAGTGGCGCTTCCTGATGGTCTTACACAGTAGCATTCTGAAAATAACTGTGGCTTATTGCTTTCACGGAAAAGGGGAGAAAATGAAGCTCTCGCCCAGGAGGCAAATAGAAATCTTGTTAAATAGAAGAGGCTCATGCTAACCATTGTTTTGACTTGTTGAAGTCAAACTAGCATTGAGCATTGATGTGTGTGCAGGTAAGGAGCCAAATGTGCTGGTGTAAAAAATTCTAATGTCTGCTGTTTGGAAAGAGAAGGTAAATTAGCCCTGTCATTTCACCTGGCGCCAAGAAAACAGCTCCCATTATTCTGTCATTAATAGACTTTGATCCTACATGGAGGAACTTCTCTTCAATTCTTCTTTATAGCTCTGGTGTGTTTTCTTCCTTTGATGCATTCATGTAATATTTCATGTGAACTGACAGTTCTGCTCAGACTGCGTTGCCCAAAACAAGGTGTAACTGGAGAGACAGATGCAGAATTTTCTTTCTAGGGCAGCCTGGAAATGGCTAGGCTAAGGAGCCTACATTTTACAGACCTTTTCTAGTACCCAGGCGTGGCAGTTACAATTTTTATTGTGTTTACAAAGGCTTATGTCTCTTGGTGGTTGTGAAGGAGTGTGTGTGTATGTGTGTGTGTGTGTGTGTGTGTGTGTGTGTGTGTGTGTGTCTGTTGGGGGAAGTGACAAATCTAAGCATCTTTGTGTTTTCTTCTCCCTCCTCTCTCTCCCTCCCTGCTCAGGCTCTGAAAGAGTTCCAGCTGAAATTTCAGACCGGACAGACTTGCTGGGGCTTCGGAGGCAGTGAATGCAAGCTGCCGGCGCATGCTGCCGCCAAGCTGCAGGATGGTGCACGTAGCCAGGCCGCTGTTGCTGCTCCTCGCCTTCTTCCTCCGGGCCAATGCTGAGAGTAAGCTTTCCTCCTCTGCTGCAAGGGGCTGGGACCATAATGAGTGGTTTTGTTTGCAGTTGGCATCAGGCTCAGGGCCTCTGAATCTATTTCCTTTAGAAGTAAATCCTGAGACACTATGGGATCCTCCTTGGCCACCAGCCAGCCTTTGAAAGGGATTATTGATGTCACTTCCTTACCATTTCCCCTCCTGTTTAATGCCCCTTTTTGTTGGGCATCGAACTGCTCCTACTGTTGAGTTTTATTTTTTTATACCTCTCAGCAGGCTGGTGGCAAAGATGTGATGAGCCCGGTGGTCTAACTGGAGCTGAGGCTAGCCAGTGGGTGGTGCCAATAAATAAGCATTGTTCAGGCCCATTAGAAATTTCTTTAGTTGTGTGCATATTTCTAAGTTTAGAAAAATGCAGTGTCACATTGAGCCCAATTAAACTTCCAAGCCCCTTGTAGCTGTCATGGCAGCTGTTCTAATGTACTGTTTCCGACAGCTGTCGTCGAATACAATATTCAAACAAATCAAGCAGAACTGACAACTTCGTGGCTGGGTGGAGGGTCTGGAAAGGCACAGAGAATTCTGTAGTATAGACACCCAAGTGTGGGTTTCTGGACTCTTATTTTTGAAACTGAGATTGAGGTGCATTGTCTTGCCAGTTAATGAGAGTGTCATGTCTTCTGTGCATTTGGGTGGTCATCAGGTCTACCTTGTTTACGTGTGTTTCTTTGCCCATCCGTCTGGTGGCTTTTGGGAAGAGGTAGTACTGGACAAGGGCATGTTTCCAGTGCGCAGTCACTGATCCTATGTCTGCGTCCTCAGCAGTGATTTAGTTCATATGTGAGTTGGCCATTCTCTTTGGGAGTCCCTTGGTACAATTAAAATATACGGGATCTGCAGTCACTAACTTTTCTCTCTACTTGTTATTCCAGTGAGGTTCAGTTTGATTCATGTTAAGGATATTTTGAAGTCCAAGGTCCTATATCATGTTTTGCCTCATTTTATTAATTGAGCTTTGACATTGCATTGAAATAGGGGCTCTGTTTTCTAAGGAGATCTTTCAAGGAGTGAAAGAAATAACATTATTAATTGGATACATATGGAACACGTATGTTTTTAAGACCAAATATTCTCTGGTTACTAATGTATATGGTCTCCTAATTAGCACTTGGGAGTGTTGGCTTAAGGTGAAGCCAAGGAATTTCTAGTACAATGCCAGGAAATAATTAACTGGGAAAAGACCCAAATGTGAGATGCTATTGTTATTTTAAAGCCATTTATGTCAAAACTTATTTCAAAGTTGAAATCTAAATTTAGTTTATTAGAGAGAAATTGGGCATGTGGCTTTATTTATTTATTACATTTTGGCTGAAGTACAAAAAGTAAGTTGTTTCATTATTGTTAAATTTTGGCAAAATGCTATTAGGACCCAGGGATCCCATTTTGAGAATGCAGCTAGAGATTTTCTTAAAGTTACTGGACATAATTATTCCATATCCATGAAATTATTCTTCCATTAAGAATGTCGTTCTACCGTGCAGCTCGGCTTTTGCTTAAATCTCTGGTGGGAAGTAGCAGACAGATATCAAGGGATTAGGAACAAGTATCGCTAAAGTTACTATTAAAGAAAACAGTCTGCGCTGCAGATGACGATTGCTGCGTCTCCCAGTCCTCGCTTTGTTCCCTCTGTCCTGCAGCGTGTGTCTTGAGTGGAATTCCTACGTAAGAGATCATGGCGGCGCTTGGTGAGCAGGGCTGCTTTCCATGCTGTACGTCTAGGCGTTACTGGCGTTCAACCTCAGGATGTTCACTGGCCCAAGAAGCCATTTTTCTCCCCTCCTGCTGGGACTAAAAAGTGAGAGAGGCAGTGGCTTTCCCATATCAATTTTAATTAGTTTTGTTCTTGTGCGCCCAGCCTTGGGGGGATGTGTTTTCTCTTTAACAGCTTCATTTGACAGCGGTGAATAGCGTGTGTGTGAAGAACGTTCCTGGGTGACAGGACAGTTAGCCTTCCTTGTAGGGACGTTTTAAAAGAAGAAGCTCCATCTATTAGTACCACTGTGGGGAATATTTTTGGTACAAAAAACACATGGTAAAAATGACAACTTTAGTCCCTAAGAATGGTTAAAGAACAAATGGTACAGTAGAATGCAGATTATAATCCATTGTGTCCCTTTTCTTAAAACTTAGGATATAAATAGCACAAAATTTGATCGTTTGGTCCTCATGTAGTGACATCTTTCAGGCTTTCGTGGCCAGAGATATGAGTCAGTTTCTGTAGTTTCGTTAGTATTCCAGGCACAAGAGGTTTTGTCTTTTACCTGGGCTTTGTATTGATATAAAAGATCATGATTTATATTTCAAAACTTAATAACAGTTTGTCAAAGCCATCTGAGAACTCTGAAAACAATTTAAAAGATTTTTTTTTTTTTTTTTTTTTTGGCAGAACTGGAGATTGAACTCAGGCCCTTGCACTTGCCAGGCAATTCTACTGAGCCATCTCCCCGGCCCCCTTTTTTCCTTCTTTGAAAAGGAAAACTCTCATTAGGTCAGGAATGGCAAGAAACCACTCTAATTTACCATGATAATTAAATGTATCCAACAAATCCTTTTTTCCCCCATAATTTTATTGATAAACAAATAGAAATGAGACAGTTTCAAATCAAATTGGTAGGACAGTTTCAATAATTAACAGATTGTATACATTCTTCCTAGTGGTTAATTGCTGTACAACATGCGGACATGATATCCTATTTACAAACACCATTAGAACAAATCACTCTATTCATTAAGAGAATGTAACTATATATCTATCCTAACCACTTTGAATACACAGATACAAAATGGACATTCACCGCAAAAAAGAAAAGAAAAAGTTCAACCGCAAAATGGACATTCATCTCTACACAGTTTTTTGTTAAGTTCCGTTCTTTGAATATTATAGATGTGTTAACTCAGCAAAATATTCAAAAAGAGTCCAGTAACCCATTATAGTATTGGGTCTTCTGCTTCATTGGCAATGTCAGAAGTTGTTGACCTGAGTCCCCTACAGCTCAACATAACAGCATGGCTTTACTTCTTATACTTCGTTTTTATACTTTTCTGCTGGATGGTTAAGACCAAGATAAAGCAGGATCTATGCAACAAGAGTTGTAGCTTTTGGGTCTGATGAGATCAGTGAAATCCCCTTTTGAAATAACTAACTGTAAAGAACCCAGGAGTCAGAATTATAACCTGGCAATTAAAAAGTTACATTACATATGAGGGCTTCTGTGAGCCTTGGTTCAAACGTAGATTGAAAAATTGTGATCCTAATCCCATTAGTAGAAAATTACAGTCTTTATCATCATCCATTGAATATCCACCTGCAAGACCCCGCCATTACTTGAAAACACAATCTGTACGTGGGTGATGCTTCTTTCTTTTGCTCTGTCTTGAGCACTCGAGACAGCTTTCCTTGCTATGCATTGAATGTGCAGAAGCTGTGATCTAAGGCAGGAGTCAAGCATGACTTCTGCTGAGTCAGCCTGAGTAGTTCTGGCTCAGGCTGGGCCAGTTTTGTGTAAGTTAAAGACAAATTTAGACTCTATTAATATAATCATTTCCCTTTTGACCATGTCTTTATAATAGCTTTTGGTAATTTGACTTCATACATACATGTAGTTTTCTATTTCTTATTCACAGCCTTCTCTTGCTGCTTCTCCTCATTCTCTTTCAAACCCCCACCATATCAATAGCACCCCCAAAATGACTGCTGAGCCAACACAACTACTGTCACCATCCCTTGCCTCACCCTGTCAATGTGACATGGGGTTCAAGATCTTGACATCGGCATCTTCTTTGTCAGACCAGTGTCACTCTAGTGGAATAACTGAACGGCTTGCTGTTGTACTTCTGACCTGAGTTTACACTTTGGCCACTATAATTGTGCTTCTGGATTTACCAGATCTCTGTTTGAAGCAAAAATCTTCAGAGTTTATCTCCTCTCATGTTTGAGCTTATCCATGTTCTGTTGCTTTTTGTGACACTTCTGACGTAAACAGATGGTAAACTCTGTGCCCCCTCACTTTCCTTTCTCATTGCTCAGTCACCTTGTGGTGGCCACTGCACACACATGCAATCTCGGACTCCTAGACAAATGGGAAGGCTCCTTCTCCACATTGCGTCTCACTGTAGCCCTGGGAATGCACTTAGGTCTTTGAAGTAGAAAGGCCTGGCACCTCTGCTGTGAGGCAGCCACAAGTATTTTGTGATAGGATAGTTTGTTAGCTCTGAAACCAGACTCTGGTTGTGGATTGTGCTGTCATTTTGGTAAAGGGTGTCATTTGCCTCCAGTCTCTTATTTGTAGAATATAGATGATGGAGATAATGAAAACAGCAGACCATGAGTTTGTAAGACCTACTCGGGTTTTGTTGAGTATTGAATGAGTTAAGGTACAACACATAGGTCAGCAGATGACACAAGTTAGGTGTTCAGTAAGTGTTCAGTGTTATTATTATTTCCATCCTCAGTATTCGGTAAGCATTTTATTGAGCACTTGCATTTGGTATAGTGTTAACATTTTTATTCAACCTGGGCATGATCAACATGTGGGTGACTATATGCCAGTTTTCTTGCTGCATTCTGTTGAGGTTGCCAGCTTGTTTCTGTATGAAGCCTGTATGCAGAAAGTGTCTTACATGCCTCTGTGACCCTAAATTAAACTGATCTTGAAGAGGAATGGGAAGCATACGTGCTATCGTGAGTCTTTAACAGAAGTTCAGCTTAGTTACCAATTTAAAATTAATTTGGTTAGAGGAGAACCGGTCATGGGGGTGTTCCAACTCCCTTGCTACTGCTTGGAATGCATTTTCGTGAGCTCCTTGGAGTAAGGAGCAGGAGATGTTTAGTGTTAGCACACACAGGACTACATGGATGTTGTTCCAGACAGCCGAGTGGGGAGTCAAAGACGAGAGCGAGTGGCCATGGATATGCCTGGAAATGCTGTGCAAGAAAAACGCGTTGTTTTTA